AGTAAAACTGCAGGTACGTCACTGGACGTCTCCAGTGATATCAGTACCGCCACAGAAGCCTCTTCGTTGGACTGCCACTTCTGTGGGGTAGACAGTCCCCCTGCTTAAAAAGGAAGAAAGAAGACGGAGTCAAACAAACAATCCAAATGGATCCCTGTGACTACAAGGGGCAGACACACACACACAGGTGAACTAAAAGAAGGAACCCATTCACCCGTACCAAACAGTCCTCCCAAATGGTCCCGATGAGGTGCTCCACTTAACGAACTCGTCTCAATCTTCACAGCATGTTTTTGGTACGTGATAAGGTGTGAAACAGGCACAGGGAGTTGCAAAATCACACCGAAATGACTGAAGATATCTGCTACTTGCAGTACCCCTCACGGCAAATCTACACCGTCCCAAGCTCTGAAATGCTCCTGCCTTATGGATTGCCTCCTGTTCCTTTGGCGTTGCCTTGGGATCCAAACTTGCCACCCATTTCGCCTCTTTCCTGAGCACCAAATCGACGACAGGCTGGGCTGACCCAAAGACACAAAAACACACTTTGAGGAAGCCGGGCATCTTTTCGATTATTTTGGGGCGAGGATTTTCATAACAAATACGCTGTACTCTCTATTGGTCACTCACAGCCCAATTCCATCCCCACAAGCTCACATCGCCCTAAAATGCCTGAAGTTGGGATAGACCATCTCGCCTCATCTCTACAGTGGTACACTCTACGGCAATTAGCAACAAAAGAGTCCAAAACAATTACGAGAGTCAAACCCCAGCTACGGATCCAGAATTCAGATCATCAAGAAGTTTTCACTCACCCTCATGCCCGAGATCAGCACATACCCTCCGCGTGTTCGGAACCCCGCCTCCGCAAACTTTACAAGACCCGGGGATTTGCCCCCCCCCCACGCGCCTGGTGAGGAATCGCTTGGCCATGCCCACCAAGGTGGGTGTTGCACCTGGAGATTCAACTCGGTCTGAATCCACAACAAGCATCCAGTGACTCAGTGTGAATGTGGAAGGGATTCAACACAAATGTGTAACTTGCAACCATCTCTACTTGGGTCGATGCGGTTCTTATAGACCCAAGTAATAAGTGCCAATGAGTGAGTGAGTGAGTGAGTGAGGGAGCGAGCGACTGGGACCTAAAAGATGGGGGGTGCCTTGGCGGGGGGGTAGGTACCCCCCCCTAAAGAATAATTTATTTATTATTCCAATCCCCTTTTACATAGGTGTTGTGAATATCCTCCATGTAGGTTGCACGGGGTTGGAATAATAAAATCATTGGAAATTGTTCTGCCAGAGGTCTTTCAACATGTTCAATAAAAATCATTGCTGCGACGCTCCTTTTTCAACGTTCAGGCCGCCCACTACCCAATGCAGGCAGCAGCAGGGTCTTTGTTTCTAGCTTACCAACCATGGATTGATTTGGAAGTCCCCTCCAAATCACCCAGTGCAAGACAGATCTGCCTGCCCAACAAAAACCACTGGTCCTATTCAATCATACGCATATATATCTTATCAATCCTGCCAATGACCAACAGTGGCCAACATCAGATAAACACAAAAGCTCCAAAAAGTGTGGGCAACCAACTGTAACAGACCTCTCTGAAATTGAATCTGTACTTGAATTAGGCCAATCCTGGCAAATCTCAACGTGATGCTACAACTGGCCGTTCCACTCACGATGCTTCGTGCTTCACCATGACAAGCGGCTCAGGAGATTCGAAAAAGACTTTGGCTAGCCACTGGCGCAGCTTGCTCTTGTGATCAATTGGGCTGGGGCTCATGGCCATCAATTCCCGCATGACCAGTAGCCCAAACCTACACAGAAAAGTTGTAAAGAAAAACTAAGAAACAATAATTAACGCCCGCCACAACAAAAAAACAAAAAACTTACAACACATATACAAACATAAAAATCATAAAACATATCATGAGCACAATTGCTGAGGTGCGACTGCGACTTTTCGTGCTTTGAGAGGCTCTGATAGTGAGTCGCAGATTTCTGATATCTGTTGAAATAAGCGGGCCCCCGAGCCAAAAGCTCTGACTAGGAGATCTTCTTCTCTGGAGTGAGCTGGATTTCCCCCCTTGGAGTTGACGATCTTGGAGAACATTGATTCATAATCATGAATCATGTGGGCCACATAGCGTTGCATGTTGCTCCTTCCTGTGGCATTCCGCTGGAAGTCATCTTCCGTAAAGAACACTTTGTCCAACGGATTTGCTTTCTTCGAGGGCTCAAACGGAACAGCCGCTTTGGCCGCTGACTTCCAACCCTTGATGGCTTCCCTGGTCAAAGTCAGGCTGAGGTAGGACCGGCCAAACTTGACATCGCAAATGCACTTTGCCGGTACTTCGTACAGCGCAGACGGATCGTGAGCTGAAAGCGTAAATGTTGGTGAAAGACTGGATGCGGCAAATCCTTCAGCATCGTTCTCCAACTGCTTTGTGGGCATCAGTAGCCTCACTCGAATCCGGCTGGCGCAATGGGCTGGAAGTTGTGCACGTGGCCATAGATATTCTTTATTCTTCCCTGAGCGCCACACTGAATCCAGAAGCGCAAATCTCAAGGCGCCTGCAGCTCCCCCCAGCATGGAAGGGTCGAACGACCAGGATTTGCAATGCTCCATCCTCTCCAGTACTGGGCCTGAACACAAAGTTGCCAAATCCCACAGAACATCAAAACTATACTAAATTCAACTCACCAAACACCTTGACCTAAACCAAAGAGAAACAATGAGAACCATTGAGAACCCACCACATACACAAATTATTCCGATGGTCTTTGACACGTGAATGCCCTCCAGACTAGTAATGCGGTTGAAACCATAGGAAGCATCAAGGATTTTCTGGATTCTTGAAGCCTTCATAAAAAAAATATTCCAATGGCATTGCACTAGCTACGGTGGCCTCGAATATTTTTGCTGGTAAACACCAAGCCTGAAAGATTTGATCGGGTTCACGCCAGGAGCATCAGGAGTACTAGAAGCAACCGTTGTCTCCTCCACTTTCTCCTGCAGCTCTTCGAACTTTCTGGTGTAGCTTGCCCACATGTTGAAGCGATTCTGTTTTGCCGCGGAGCAGTGAAAAGTCGCTCGTGCCCGGGCGAGCTGATGTTCAAGGAGGTTCTGTGTATTTAGTGGCGGGCCTGGGCGGTTGGAACCAAAGATCATGCCCTTCGAAAGCACCTTCTCAAACATGCGGACTTTTGAGTTGAACCCCTGGAGCAACGGCAGCAATGCCCGGACACGTCTCAGGCAAAGATGCTCTGCATCGTTCTCTGGTGCGACGAAATTGTGCATTCCTGCCTCTTTCAAGATAGCATGGAGTGTGGATGGAAGATTATCCACATCAATCTTTGTCTTCTTGTCGGCTGGCTCATCGAGATCTTCGTCCGGAATCTCTTCCAGGGTAGTGGCTTTCACTGAGTCCTTAACTGCATCTCCGGCATTGATCTGCTCCATGGCCTTTGCGATCTTCTCCTGCAGAAAAGCATCTGTCTCAGTGTCACCAATGACCTTTTTGATCTCCTTGCCTTCCCCGTCGTCTTTTGTCTGGTCCTCATCCTCCTCATCGTCTTCAAGCTCCTCCTCCAAGGAAGCAGTAAAGATCCCATGTGTATACAACAAAGGAAACAATGAAAAACACATTTAAACCAAAAAACACCGGTGCAAACGTGCTCGTGAACTCCAACAAATGAATGTCCTCGTCTTGCAAAGACTGGTCTTCTTGAGGCAGCTCCGGTTCTTCCCCAAGGAAAATGCTCGCCCCATCTGCTTCCCACCACTGGCGCAAGTCCTCTTTCATCTGATTCGGAGAAATCCCGCAAGAGCAAATGCTGGCCAAAGTGCAAGCATCGTCCAAGGCTGCGTTTGCAATTTCAACCACGTTGGACACTTCAAACCTCCTGGTGGAAGATGCCTGCCGAAAGGGTGGCAAACAAACGGATCCTCAAAAAGGCCGAAACCATCCAAAACCGTCGTCAACATCGTCACCATCATCATCATCATAGTATAGATATATATATATATTATTTACGAGACATGAGAAACTTATATATGTGTAAGTCTTGAAGCATCTTGAACTGTTGTCTCAGTAAATACTTTTGCCAAGCGTTTGCCCAGATTTGCTTAGCATGCTTTAGAATTTCATTGATTTCCAATGAACTTTTACTGTACATCACTGCGATTGAAATGATTCAACCCATTTCAGCGCTTGTACAACTTTCACGTAGTTGTGAAGGAAAAGATGTGGAATTGTCCACCATCTACACAATTCACGAAAGATCACACATCAACTTGTCTGAAGGTGATATCCTCCCTGGACCCACTGCCGGATCCAGGCATCAAAGACTTTTGAACTGAATTTGGCCGTATATTCTGCTGATCGCGGTAGGTCTTTGCCGCCGGAGACACCTCCACGTGCGTCTTTCCTGGCATTCATGAGCAGCGACAAGCACAAATCGATACAAATCAAATCAAATCAGCCTTTAAGAAAAACATACACAATAACAATACAAACATCATCAAACGTCAACAGAACCAAACGCACACCAAGAATCTTATAAATACAAAGCTTTCTGCCTAGTTTTTTCTCCAGGGCAATCTTTGCTTTTTGCACATTCTCACGAACCTTCGGGGTCAATGCCTTCTGCAACCTCAGCTGCCCTAGCCATACGGTAGCAAAAGAATCAAAAGGTGGCGAAAAGCACACGCGACATCACACGACCCGGAAATGTCAAACATTCAAAAATGAAAAGCACGTGTCAGGGGACCATTGAATGTGAGAAAGGTTGCCCAGAAGACGGGTGCCTTTGATCATGAAATGTCCAAACGCTCCCATATATGTCAGGATCAAACGGAGTTGCTGCTCATGAATGAGGTCCACCCACAATTGGAGGCTGAACATAGCGCTTGACACGGGCTGCTCTATGACGACCTTCACGTCTCTGATTTGTAAGAGAGCTCGCACAGCAACAGCTAAGTTTTCTGTCAGCAAATTACCCAATCGTACTCCACAATGGGATTCATCCCCTCGTGGTCCAAGACGAGAGCGCTTGTGGATGGAGCTGGACATGAATACAAAGTAGCTGCAAGGCGGCCCTGCAAATAGCAAGGCACCAGGAAGCCTGGTTTGATGCAAAAAAGAGTTCTTATAAAATATTCCAAGAGGGGGTTGACCTGTCCGATCATCCACCAAGAAAATCCATCCCCTCCCACCTCCACACCCAACCTAGCCACTCTTAAATAATCCTAGATATACCTGGTCTTTCCTCCCCTCCCCCCCCCACACACAACAATTATTCCAATGGGGGGTTGACCTGTCAGATCACAGCGAGATATTTGTTTGTTTATTTTTGGGCTATTGCTGTACACAGTCATGTAAATAAACCCTTTTCTCAAGGGAGGGTTGACCTGTCAGACCCTGTCCCTCATGATATTATTTCACTACATCTCCCACCTCGACACCCAACCTAGCCATACCTAGTCTCC